AGCTAAGTCCCACTTTTGATTCGTTAACCATCTGAAACTCACCCGAGGCCCTCGGGACCTCAACCCAAAACACCAACAAATCCTAAAACATCATACGAACCTATTTGAAACCTCAAATCACATCAAACAATGCTAAAATCAGGAATCATGCTCCAATTCAATCTTAATGAAACTTAGAATTTCCAACTTCTACATTCGATGTCGAAACCTCTCAAATCAAGTCCGATTGACTTCAAATTTTGCACACAAGTCATAAATGACATAACGGAGCAGTAAAAATTTTCAGAACTGAATTCCGAGCCCGATATCAAAAAGTCAACTCCCCGGTCAAACTACCAAACTTTAAATTCCTATTTTAGCCACATCAAGTCTGATTTTACTACGGACTTCCAAATAAAATTTCGATCACGCTTCTAAGTCCAAAATCACCATACGGAGATGTTGGAATCATCAAAACTCTATTCCGGGGTCATTTGCACATAATTCGACATCCGGTCACTATTTGAACTTAATCTTTAAATTTTTTATCAAAATTCCATATCTCGGGCTAGGAACCTCGGAATTTGATTTCGGGCATACGCCCAAGTCCCAAATTACGATACGGACCTACTGGACCTATCGAAATACTGATCCGAGTCCGTTTGCTCAAAATATTGACCAAAGTCAACTCAATTGAGTTTTAAACATCTAATTCACTTTTTAATCCATTTTTCACCTGAAAACTTTCCGAATTTAAAGATGGTAATGATTCGAGTAATGGTAAATAGTGCTTAGATCACATAATTAATCATTAAATTTAAAGATGACATTTTGGGTCATCACACATATATATAGGTGTAATAATAAATTTAAATAGCTACTTCTATAGTCGGTTTGATTCATTTTTTTTCCGGTTATTTTTTGATTAAAATTAAAACCAAACCAAATTTGATCGGTTTTTAAAATTCAAAACCAAAACCAAACCAAACCTAAAAAGTATCGGTTTTTTTGATCGATTTAGTTCGATTTTCTGTTTGGTTCGATTTTTCGGATTTTTATGAAAACCCCTATAATAATTACAGGTTCACTCGATTTCTATAAGGTCTAGTAGGTTGCAGTTCGGACGCTAGGGTTTTACTCCAGCTTGATCCTTTAAAATTAAGGGGTGAGATTCGTCAAAATGAAAATTTCCAGGGCAAATTGGAACTAGTAGAACCCCAAAACAGGTACATGACACTTCAAGTCAAGGGATGTCATCCAAATTGCATTGTCCAAATAATTCACTACTTAAAGTATATAGCATTATTCTTTAAATAAACAATATAGAGCTTTGACGTAACTAGTAAAGTTGCTGCCCTGTGACGTGATCAGAAGGTGACATGTTCAAACTTTGGAAACAAGTTCTTGCTTCGATAAGTTTGCTTACGATAAACCCTTGTGGTACAACCCTTCCCGGATCCCCGCATGACGGGAGTTTAGTGCACCTTTTTAATATAAACAATATATACACACAATAGACAGACGCACTATTTAAACAGTATAAAATAACATATATCAATAAAAATATACTCAAAAATAATCTTATCATTATTTAATATCGTATTATAATTGTCATATCACATTATAATTTCTATTTAACTCGTTACCAAACGACCCTTTGTGCATACTGCTTGTGCCTCGAGAAAGAAGTCGAAGCTAACCGGGCCTTACAGAAGATCCCCACAAAAACCCTTATGTTAAACTCTTATTTTTTCATCAGTAGCAAAGCAGAAAAGGGCTCCGAGTCAGCTCTAATAATCTCAAAGACTCAAGCAGCAAAACATGGTACGTTCTTCCTTTTTTTCTTTTTCTTTCGGATATTTTATCAAACACATTCTGCTCCAAGCTATTTTCTCAAAAATTGAGGCCACCAAATTTAGCAATCGCTTGGTGTTTTGCGCAGTCAGTGACGCTTCATACAAACCTAGGCGATATCAAGTGCGAAATCTTCTGTGACGAAGTCCCTAGAACTGCTGAGGTTCGTTTTTTCTTTAAGAAATTGATTTTTTATATTATTTGTGTTTTAAAGTAAACTGAGGTTGAATGCTTTTGTTTTCTTTTACATTTTTTTAGAATTTTGATGAATCCATTCTGCAACCTCAAACTCAAAGAATAAATATAGACAAAAATATTTTGATTTGCTTGTTCTTTAGCTACTCCAAAAAGGGTTCAAATTAAAAGGATTTCAAATTATCTCACTGCTGTATCTGTAGAGTAACTAGTTATTCTAATTTGGCCATGTTGCAATTTTTGAAATAATATTTGGAGATTCTTCAAAAGTAAGTTTTTTTTTAAAAATCATACTGGTTCATTGTTTCAACTTCACACTTGAAATTTGGTATTTAGAATTTGAAAAACAGGTTTTAGGAGTTTTTCAAATTTTCAAGNGCGTTGATTAGCTGTTTTCTTCCATGCTTGCCTGAAATTGGTAACAAAAAGTATAGAACTTTGTTTGCAATTTGATAGGTCTAGCAAAAAATTTGACAGGTTTGTTCTTTTCCTTTTGGCGTAATATAGTGGTGGATGTTAATTTTTACCTTTACCTTTTAAGGTTCCAATTTAAGGCTTTAGGTCCGACAGAGGCCAAATAGTTTGACTAGAGCTTCCTATAATATTTTTAATTCCCCTGCCTGTTCAGGTAGTAGGAATTGCACTACCGTAGGATTGATTTAGTTAGGTTCGCCGTTGCTGGGGCTTTGGTTGCCGGCTCCCTTATCATCAGGTCATAGGCATCTCCAGTATTGGGCAGGCAGGCGTCAACCCCCATAATACATGTATATTTGGTAAATAGCAGTTGTGCCTGGTTACTGTGATCTGTTTCGGAGGAGGCACCCCTTCTCCAAAAGTCACGGGGCTATTTTGCTAAGTTCCTTAGCGAGAGTTGTTTCCCCCTCCTAGTTATTCTTTACCTTAACACACCGACAGTTTGGGAATTTGAGTAGTTTCTCTAATGTAAATGATTCTTCAGTGGTTAGCTCCAGACATGGGCTTCATCCCTTCATTATATGGGTAGTTGGATGTTTAGCAATGATGAATCATTTCTCGTGTCCACATAATAGTACATTTTTTCCCTCCCTATAACATGAAAGCAAAAGGCTTTTTTGCACATGAGCTTTTGAGGTTCCAAGAACATGCTTGACCTTGTTGGATGTTTTTATTACGACTATCAATGGACATGGACATTCATGTTGTGTTGTCTTTGTGCTTATTAAGGATGGATTACCACCCATCTGTATATTTGTCTAATGCCTGACTGTTCTTCTTCCACTTTCTCCCCTGCTGAATATCTTCATGCTTAAAATATAGACAGACTTATTAAATTTGCCTTCTGATAAGCCATAATTAGCCGGCAGGTCGTCCACCTTCTGAGGATAAAAGTCTGTTTTACTAATGCAGCTTTCTAAGTTTAAGTGACCTAGATGGGTTCAGCTGCGTTTGATGCATCGGTCTTCCTTCCTAACTTGTCATTATTGCAATTATATAAGAACCGAATACAAACATAAAACAAGTTACTACTTAAGATATCCTGTTAAACTACATAAAATGATTTATCTTCCTCATCCTCAAAAGAAAAAAGAAAGATTTATCTTCCTGGTATTCAGATAAAATTGAAAGTGTCTTATCTTCCTGGAAAACTTAGTTTAGTCTATCTGGTTGGAGTAATTGAATTGCTACATCCCTTTGAAGTGAAAGATCTTCCAGATTGGCGCAAGGGATACTGTATCCGACCTTTGTAGGCTACATCTTCCTGGAATAGCCATAAAGGATATAGTTTCAGTGAATGTGACAATGTCTTATGAAATAGACAAGAAAAAGGTATAAACAGAGATGCATTCTCTAATAACCTTAAAAAAAGATGTCATATCAAATAAGCAGACAAGTTTGGGAAACATTGTCGAATTGCAAATACAAAATGCTTGTGTGTTAGTACAGGAAGGTTTGCTCTTCTGGTTCAAACATCAATGACAACATGCTGACCCCAAAAGTGGGGTCTGGGGTCTGAAGAGGGAGAGTGTACGCAGACCTTACCCCTACCTTGTGTGAGGTAGGGGATACTTAAAGTGGTAATGACCTTTCTAATTCCTTATTGAAAAAAACCCTTGTAAAATGAGGATCTTCAAGCATGCCTCATTCACATGCAAAAAATTTCTGTTTAAGTTGAATGGAAAAGAACTTTTCAAACCTTTGATTTTTCTGAATTCTGAGGTAAAAAGAGGGCAAAATAATTAGCAATGAGATCTCTTCATTCCAGCCTTCAAGGAGGGTTGTGAGGGCCAGCTTCATGGAGGTTTATATACACATACCTATTTTTGTACTATAGAGAGTTGAGCAGTGCTGTGAAAGGCGCTTGCCTCAGCGCTTAAAGTGTGAGGCGACGCAAAGCAGACATTTGTCGCCTTTTTTGCTTTGTAGCGAGGAGGCAACGAGGAGGAGATGAGACGTTGAGAACCAGTGCTTTTTTTTTTCTTTCTAAAAAAAGACAGACTTAAAAACGCAACATATAGGGTTTTTCTGTCAGACTCAGACCTTTGCGCAACTCTTCTTCTTCGGTTCTTCCTCTTTCAGTCGCAACAGCTAGGGTTCAGCTATTCAGGTACTTGCTTCTTCTATTTTCTCCTTCTTCTTTCTTCTTTCTTTTTTCTTTCTTTTCTTTCTTTTTTCCGGCAGCAACTATCTTTTTTCGGCAACTTCTTTTCTTCCTTTTGTTTTCCAACAGCAACTCTATTTTTCCGGCAACAAACTCCTCTGTTTCGGGAGTTCTTTTGCTCAGTTTTTTGCTTCCTCCATTACTTGAATTATTTTTGCAGGTTTAGTATACAACTGATTACATAATAACTCTATTATTTGTCTATAAACATTATATTCAATGGCATCATCTAATGGTAGTAAATTGAATGACATAGCTTGGAATACGAGGAGCAAAAAAATCAGCAATTCAATGTGTGTTTTGCTAAAAAACTTACCAAGGTGGAATTACTCGTCAAAAACAACATTTACTTGGTGGGTTTAAAAGTGTAGTACAATGTCCAGTTTGTCTGGTTGAGGGAAGAAATAAAAGCGTTTGTTAAAAAGAAAAATGTGGTAAAACTCAAATGAGCTACAAAGCACATGTGGCTAATCTTATTGATGAAGACAATGAAATGGGGTCTTCTCCCTAAAAAATTCAAAAAATGTCTTCAACTAGTGCCAGTGTATCATGCATGGCATGGTTCGGGGCGAAAGGTCTTCTCAATCTTTATTTCTCGTAAAAACCACACGAAAAGAGAAAAGGTGATGATGTTATAGAAAGAACCAAGAAGATTTTAAGGGATCACACTGTAAGTGATTTTGCAACATAGATCTACGATGTAGGATTCCCTTTCAATTGTGTCAATTACAAAAGTTTTGCTAAATTCATTGAGGCCGTAGGACAATATGGCTAAGGAATGAAGCCTCCTAGCCATCACGAAGTTAGAGTTACTCATCTAAAAAAGACGGTGGAGAAGTAGACAAGATTGTTGAGGAACATACAGTGCAATGAAATAAATTTGGATGTTCCATTATGATGGATAAATGGACAACACGAAATGGAAAAATGATCATCAATGTTTTGGTAAATTCTATAAGAGGTAGTGGTTTTTTTTGGATCCCACGATATTAGCAACTCTTCTATGGATTCCACCAAAATGTACAACTTGTTTGAGGAGAGCATTGAGAAAATTGGAAAGGAAAATGTTGTACAAGTTGTGATAGATAACGCTATTGAGAATGCCATAGCGTGACATGTTGAAGGGTGTGTACCCACACATTTATTGGACTGCATTATGCTGCCCAATGTATCAATTTGATGTTTGGTGACATCTTCAAGGCAAAACCCGTATAATTCATGTAACTTTAATGTAGTTGTCTTTAATATAACTTTAAGTTTCTTTATACTTATTAACTATTAAAATAGTATTTTTACAGTTTTTGCCAAGGCCATAAAGATACATTCTTACATTAGTTAGAGGCTATTGTTGCTAAACTTGATGAGAAAATTTACAAACAAAAGAAATTTGGTGAGACCGGCCATGACAAGATTTGCAATGGCTTTCTTGGCTTTGCATGATTTTTACATGCAAAAAAACAACTTGAGATGACTAGTCACTTCAACCGAATAGAAAAAAGTAGATTAGCAAAGGAACTTGCGGGAAAGAAGTTGTCTGACATATTATTTCTCCATCATTTTGGAATGACGTTGTTCAAGTATTTAAAGTTGGTGGTCCTTTGATTACCGTACTTCATCTGGCGAACGAGGAGAAAACCACTAATAAGCTATCTTTACGAAGATATGGATAGAACCAAAGAAGCTATTGAAGAGTCATTTGAGGGCGATGAGAGTAAATATGAGAAAGTTTTCGAGATAATTGATAGAAGGTGGTTAGATCAACTTGATCGACCTTTGCATGCAGCATAACATATTTTGTACCCGGGTCTGTTTTATAAGAATAATGACAATGGCATTTTAGATGCAAAAGTGTGGCTGAGATATCATGCATGTGTTGAGAAGTTGGTCCCTAATTTAACAAGGGCCAGAGCGTGCTAAGTATACACAAGGAGATGCGCTATTTGGTTATAATACGGCTGTTAGAGCCAAAGACATAAGGTCACCAGGTAAGTGAGTTGTTTTAGTTGTCTTTATAGCTTTACTTTTGAGTTATTTGATTCATTTATACTTATTAATTTTTAAAATATTTTTTCGATAGTTGAATGGTAGTTGCAATGTGGTCGGTCATCAAACTCCAAACTTGTAAAAGTTTGCTGTCAAAGTACTAAGTATAACTTGTAGCTCATTCGGATGGGAGAGAAATTAGAGCGTGTTTGAACATGTGAGAAGATTTATTATATTCTATATTACGTTATTATTACTCCTTCTGTTTCAAAAAGATTGGCACTATTTTCTTATTAGTCTGTTCCAAAAAGATTGGCATATTTCAATATTTCCTTAATAGGAAGCAT